TTCAAGCCTAAGAAAGAATAAACCAACACAACTGGTGTTTGCTTTTTTGGGTTCAACCAATACATGCCTTGTTTGGAAGTGTTTTTAAAATGACTAAAAACGCTTTTAGTAAAAATATTTTTGATACCGATCTTTAACACAAATGTAAATGAATCTTAGAAAAATACTTCAAAATGAGCCCGCAATTGTTGAAGCCATAAATTGCCAACCTACATGAGAAGAAAATTTTGGAAGTATGGTACGGTATGGTATTCTATCAAAGAGTCTTAGATCGTAGCATCAGTCCTCAATTACGCATCCATGGTTTTTCTAGCAAAAATCATATATAAATTGATGCTAAAGAAACAAAATTTTATAAACACATAATCAGAGATTGCGATGCTACAATTCATGACTCATTGGTAACATTCATGACTCATTCGACCCTTCATTCAGCTATGAACGACTACTCGTTCAAACGAGTCATTTCATACAGATAACCTATTAATTTGAGCCATAAAAAGTGCACGAATTAAATCCAAACTCATCTCCCTCTAACTAGCCCGTGACAGAAAGTAGGACTGTTTCTCCTTTGATAAGAAACTATGGATATTAGGATTACTTGGTGAAATACATATTTACCTAATTTTCTTTGCAAAGCACATGGTTTGACGCATCAACATCAGTGATGTATGTGTCTCAAATCAATCACCATTTAAAAACACAGATATTTTGGTGCAACAGGCAAATGCAGGCCACATTTTTTGTAAAGATGAGTTGTTAAATGGGACCCTAATTCTGCACATAATGCCATGAATCATTTGGCACTCTCTCTCTCTCTTATCTGAAAATCAACTTATATAAAATAAGTTCACTGATATACGTCATCTTGATCTGATAATTTAATAGTATGCGGAGTAAAATTTAAATATAACATTGTGTTATTGAATCAAAAAGTTATAACAACGATGAACTTGTCTTACATAAGTTCTTATCCTCTCTCGCTTTCACCTTTTCTGTTCGTTTCTTCCTTTTTTGCTCTTTTCCTTCATCCTATACGAAAGCAATTGCCCCTCTATTCTCATCCACATACCTAATTTTAAAGCTTTGTGTGGGAGACCAAAGAAGATAAAAATGACATATTGTGCTCAAAATTCTAGTGGCAAATTTGGTGGTGTTGCTAAATGGTGTGTTTCCAAATATGAAGAATTGAGCCTTCCCTCTTGCTAACAACCCTAAAAGGTCTCTCTGTAGAGAAATGAAAAAGGAGGAGAAAGGGTTTGCTTAAGTCATGTCATGTCATTTTACTGCTCCAACAGACTAACATGGAGCTCTCCCATTTTTCTCAAAAACCTGCATTTTACAAGGGAAAGAACAAAAAGAAAGAAAAGGCAACAAAAAGGCATAACGAACCTAAACACACCGAGCAGGAACGGAAGCATGCCTGGCTGGGGCGTCCTACAACTTCCAACCCACCTAGATTCGAAAATATCTACCCTAGTTTGAGTATTATAATGTTCTTATAAGATAATCAGAATGAAATGATGATAATGGGTAGGCCAGTCGAACTATATATAAGATTGATTGTCAGATTACAATAGTAAAAACTTTACTCTGTAAACCAATACAAGGCAATAGAAAGAACAAGACCGTGGGATTAGCCACCAACTACAAGCAAGCTACTTCCTTCTTGCTTTAAAGCGATCAGAAAGAGCTAACTTCATGATAGAACAACCCCCTCGTTCCCTATCTCAAAGATTTATCAATAAAGAAAAGTAAAAATAAAAGACTACAAGCGGAAGATGAAAACTAAATCTGTGAAGAGAAAAACAAAGAAACATCAATCCCCTAGTTACCAAAAACAAATAAATCTTGTCTAATCCCATCACTAATCCTCTCACCTAGAATGCTCATGCCACTCGTGGAAGCAATTCATTTAAGTACTCAATCAACTTAACAGGGCAGATTAAGCAACAAATTATCATTTAGTAATTGATTAATATAAGAACAAAACTTGGCTGCTTGAAAAAAAAAAAACATGAGCTCCTACTCTCACTCAATAACAACTTGATAAGTGTGTGTTATTAGTTCAAGTTATTTTATTTTATTTTTTCAATTTTTTAGACACTTATTAAGTTATTATTGGACGAGAGAAGAAGCTCATGCTTTTTTTTTTTAAGCAACCAAGTTTTGTTCTTAATATAATATGAGGCTAGGTAGAGAACCACTTATTTTATTTGCTCATTATTTTTCCTTAACAAACCAAACCCAATCTTCTGCATGTTTAATTATTACAGCACCAAATTATCTGCGGTTTTACCATCTCCCATTTGGCTCAGTTTACATGGATTAAGAATTTGCAGTAGAAAAGAGTTTGGTCAGCGATTTTAACCTCTATATTTCCACTTTTTCCATGATAAAAATAAATGCTAATAACACTTTACACACTTAAGAATTGAGGTGATTTTTAAAATGTATTGTGAGATATTAGTTTTCTCGCATTACTCTCTAAGATTTTGAAATTGTATAAGTTAACAACTTTTAAATATTTGAACACTTAAATATTCGTTTAATTGATGATTTTTTTTAGTCAATGTGGTGCAAATGTTGTTTACAACTTGTCTCGCAATTATGGTTTTATCCTCCCCATGTCATCAATTTAATGAATTATTCAAACAATTTATGAGACAAAAAGAACAAATTAATATAATTTCAAAATGTTAGAGAGCAATATGAGAAAAATAAAACAGCAATGTGAGAAAATTAAAACGAATGAGGATCCTCTCTGGATCCTCATATCGTGTCTATTCATCGTATATCGTGCGGTCAGTTTTCATCAGGTACTATTTGTGTTTAATTTTAAATAAAAATGCTTAAAATAATTTTTGATAACATGATATACGATAAATGACATGATACAAAGATTCTTAGAATCCTCACAAAAAAAATCTAAAAAAAATCCTTATTCAATTAAAACCTCATAGCCTATTTTGAAAACCACTCAAAATATAACAAGTGTGAAATGTATTTAGCCCTAAAACTACAGCTGATATTGACTTAGAAAAGTACGTTTTGGCACGTTGGGAGTGATAGTCAAAGCCCCCGCTCTCACTTATCCTCTATTTTAGTTCTCTTTTATAATATCATTCAAAGTCATCCAAATTGTATAGAAATTGAGGGGGAAAATGTACCTACGTGTTAGGGACGGAGAACTATTATTATTGAAAGAAATGTTGAATTCACTTAAATTAATTACTATTTTTTTGGTAAATAAATATATTAAAAAAAAAAAACAAAAAACAACTGTCAACAATGCTACACCAAAACAGCAACAACAAACACTAACTATTCATAAGATAAATTTCCGCAATCTAAGCCTAAGTTTCGGCAATCCTACATTGCAGAAGATTGCTATAGAGGTTTTGTCTTTATTAATCACTTCTAACATACAAGCTAGCCAAACTTTTAGGATAAGTTTTAGCAATGTAAGCCTAAGTTTCAGCAATGTAAGCCTAATTACTATTAATCATTATGTGTGTGTAAACAACTATTAGTTTTCGAGTTATCCACAAGTGTTGATTAATGTACATTTTTTATATTAGTGAAATATTATATTATTTGCAAATATTGTTCGAATTCTTAGAATATCATTACTTAACTTTCAATTCACCTTTGATCATCAAATGAAATGTGAATGATTCATTCTCAACCAACGTATACTATGCGCTAAACTTTACTTATAGTAATTATATCTTTTACTCTTAGTTAGTCACGGATGAGAATCCTCTCTGGATCCTCTTTGTGAGGATCATCACATTCTAACCGTACATTATATTTCGTGCAGCCAGTTTTTGTTAGATACTATTTATGTTTAATTTTAAATAAAAAATTCAAAATAAGTTATAGATGCACAATGTATAATGAACAAATAGAATATAAAGATTTCTAGAATTTCTACAATTTAAATCCGGATAAAATCCAAATCCGATATCCACAAGAGTTTGAATCTTCAATCTTGGAGTTGAAGCTTTTTAAGCCTAAAAAGTTGGAAAGAAGTCAAAAAGCAGAACATCAGTGTACAATGTATGCTTATGATGGTGCGCTGTGCCTTTACTTTCATCCAAAGGAAACGCACGACCATTGTTTATTTATTATATTTTCAAAGCGAATTGTTATTAGGAGTTTAAAAATTTCATTATACATTCTAAACTATCTATATTAAGAAAGAAAAAAAATACTCTTGTGAGAAGTGTAAAATGAGATTTTTGAAGTATCAATAACATTTCCCTTTTCAAATACACTGTATGAGATCAATTGGGAGTTAGGACACGTGTAGGGGCACTAAAGTGAAGGTCCAAATGAGAATAATAGAGAGAAAAAAAATCAAAGCGTGTGCCTCCCCCTTTTCCTAACTGATTCTAACATTTTAAATTTAAATGCTTAGTGCAAAAAGCATATGACATTTTACGGCATTAGCAAAATGCATTCATGTTTATACGTTTAAATGCGAATTCAATTTTCGTTAATTTTTCTTTTACTTAACAACCAATATTTTAACTTATTCACATCATCGTTTGTAAAAACAAAAAGACCTAGTGCAAAAAAGAAGAAAATGCTTTCAAAAGTATAACTCTCTGCCACCTCAAGTTTTTTGCACAACGTTTTATAATTTTGACGTGAAAATTAACGTTAACTGTAAAGTGATAGAGAGTTGATGAAAAGTTTTCCTTTGAAAAGAGTCTAGTCAACGTTTTTCAAGCACTAAAGAAGAAAGTGCAATGTGATGTTTCACTTGGTTAGAGAAATGTACTGAATCTAAAATTTAAGTTGCATAATGAGAGAGATCGAAAAATTATTGTCTTTGACAAAATGAAAGAAATTTTTCTCCTCACATTATGAATTGCGATATTATCAATTGCAATTAAAGATTATTCCAAAGCAAAGGAGCATGGATTTTGCTTCACATAAAACGGACTGTCCATTTGTCTTATGCAACCCATATTTATCAATGGGAAGAAGAATGAAGAAAATGCTGAGCCAAATTTCTCATATATTAAAAGGCAAGGGATGACATTCTGTGCAGTGCAGCTTGATACAAATATTTCCTGTCCAACTGGGAGAACATGTAGCAATACTAGTTTCCAGTTTCCCCTTCAATGCTAGGATGAATTCTACAAGAAGTTACACAACGTCGTAAATTGTCATTGGATTCTACATCCCCCTGAATCTTGTCCCCGACGGACATTGCCATAGGCTGACAGTTCGAGAAGATCCATGTCACTACCTACATTTCAAAGCGATACGCTGTCACTTGCTCTCCTAAATTAGTTGAATTCATCCCTGGAAGAACTTCCACAAGAATTTGGTGTTTCTTGAGATTACCTGAAACCCGACAGTAAGAACTCTTCTGGATGAGCTCGGCCCTAGAAAACTCAGTTCGATTTCCTTTTGATCGATTGACCGTTGCCTACAATATGCAAGAGAAAATGCTTTTATTAAAGCGTAAGGTGTAAGTTATTAAATTCAAGGCAAACGTCAGTTTCAATAATCATTTGAATATGAGTGCAGAGCGGAAAGAAATGAAATGAAAATGTGCAACCTGGGCCGAGACTTTGTGGAGATCTTAAAATTGATTCTAAAATTTTAGAAGATGGTTTAACAGTAGGGAAAGAGAGAAGAGACACATGGTTCTGATTTCTTGAATGGTTTAAGCCACAGCAAAGGGCAGCCATCGCCTTTAGAATCTCTGGATCAACCATCCACTTTGAACTAGGATTCCACAAAACATATTGGACTCTGCCCTCGCATTATCATCCTACAGTAGAATCTCTTCCATTATCATACCGCAACTGTACGGTTTGCTGATTGTTAAGAATCCTAAGATAGCTCAAGTAGTGTAGGTATTTTGGCATCCCTTTGAAGGTCAGCAATATACAGTAGGAAACTACGGTGTGCTAACATCTACTGGTGAAGGGTTTCTATGGAATGGAGATACCACCCAAAATAAAGATACAAAAATCATGTAAAAGTTCAAGGTTCCAAAGGGGAATGAAGTCCATACCTGTAAGATCTGACAATTTTCGAGCGTACTTTGTCCTCCCTGAAATGTGAAAATAAAAAAAATTAATCCTCCAAAATTAGCCTCAGGGATCAGAGGGCTGGGGGAAACAAAATGAAGAAACATTTGTTCAGCTATCAAGATTATCATATTAAGTTGGGATGACAAAGCAACCCATTTCCTGAACTCCTTGTTTCCTCTAATATTCCTTTCCAACAAAATCAGCATAAACGGACACACAACGAAACATCTTCAATGTTGGTTTCCAGACTTTGTTTCAAATTTGCCAAGCAAGACCAGTAGAATTATGAGTTTGCCATAACTTTTCAATCTGCAAGAAACAGATTGCAGAACGAGCTTCTTCTTGAAACTTGCTAAGCCGCTCCTCTTTCGAACAAATGCCTCAGCCGGTGTATATTCATTACTGAATTATCTTCTCGTGCACTGTCAATCAACTAAATCCTAATCATTTGGAGCCATGTTGGTAATAAAATTCACCGGTGAATCAAGCCTGTATTACACCTCAAGGCTCCTCATAGGTCTAAACAGTCCTTCAACTAAATATGTATCACCATGATTACCCATATTATATCACAATCTCTCTGTCACAGTAGTTCAAATTCACATAATCCCACAACACCAGTCATGCCAAGCTGCCACTCTCTATGTCTACGGTCGCAATGTAATATGGAATATTGGAATTTGCGACCTCATAGTCATTCTGCTCAATCAACCGCCATAACAAAACTCCAGATTACCTTACATGCATTTTCCACCAAAGGTGAGAAAAGCTTTCTACCTAAGCTTGTACTAATATCTATCGCCTCCAGTATCGTACATGCATATTGCAAGTATGTAACTAAACTAATTAAACAAATTCCCTAGCTTCAGCAGCTGTATAATTGCAATAAGACAATTACTTGTTCGCGTATATAACCATGTTCCCAAAACAACTATCGGTTTCATACAACCATGTTCACGAATCGCGTATATAATAAGCAAGGGCATACTACATAGCTAAAAAAGTGCTCAACTTTTACAGCATAACTAAATGTATGAAATTCAGTAACACAAGCATTTCCAAATTGCATCTTCCTTCACACAAAATGCTCAAAATTGCACCCAAATAAATAATAATGTTCCATGGGAAAGAGCCACCAAACCAAAAAAAAGCAAAGAACTTTGAATTTGTAGAATCAAATGCATCCCCGAAACAGAACCTCAATTGCCAAATTCCAAAGGAACCCACCACAAAAAAATCCAATCAGAAACTAAAAAAAGCAACGCCCAGAAACAGAAACACTCAAAAATCCATAAGAACGTGAAATTTAGAGAGAGGGAGAGAGAGGAATCTGACCTTAGAGTATGGCACAATGTGGTCGTAATCGTGACAGAGGCAACCGGGGCAACCCACGAGCTTCCGGAAAATGGTGTTTCCGAGAGGGTCACGTCGCCACCGGTCCGGGTCCCGACCTTTGATCTTCTCCGCCTTGTCCCAGCACTGCTGCTTCACGGTATACGGAAAGCTTCGCGGGTTGTTATTAAAAGACAAAGAAGTTGCGAGCTCTTCTTCGAAGCGAGCAGTGGCAGTGACGTCGGTGATGACGAGATCCCGCTTGAGAAGCACAGAGGCGCGAGGCTTGGGCGGTGAGCTACTCCGTCGTTCGAAACGGGGGGAGGGAGCGGTGGTTCGGTCCTTGAGCGGAGAAGAATGGCGGCTCCGCCCCTTTGGCTCTTTGCTCGGCTTCATCTTTTCTCAACATGAAAAGACGATACTACCCCTTAGTATTTTAAAATAGCAAGATAGAAACCACGTTATCTATTATTATTCGTATTTGCCAATTGACGCCATTGTCGAATGCAGTGCCAAAAAATATGCACTAATTTTATCTAAGAAAAGTTGTTTTCGCACGTAAGATTTTGATAAAATTATATACTTTTTTTGAGCAAATTATAAAATTATACTTAGATCAGCATTTCAAGCTCAATAATTTAGAAACACAGAAACATCAATTTATTTTGTATTGAGAGAAGGGAACAAAACAATCCTCACCGCACAAGTAGATAGATGATGGGTTTAATTTCCCTCTTATATGAATCGCAAGATATTTTATCTTATTTACTAACTTTCTGAATATGAGACTAAAAAAATTAATTATATTTTCGAATCTTTAATTGATATATATATATATATAAGCAATGAATAGTACCAAATTAAATTTACTGGGCTAGTGTTGGTAAAGACATAGATAAAGCTAACGCTAGAAAGTCTAAATTTTTAAATCAAATTTTATAAACCATATAATGTGTTTGTTGGTGATTAGATTATTCCTTAAATATTGATTAATGTGCTTATTTTTTATTGGCAACACATCATATGGTTTGCAAATTTAGTCTAACAATTTGGTCTACATTGCATTACTTTTTCTTAATGGTTAGACTTGAATTGGAATGAACATCTAAAAATTGCACCTCACATAGCTACTAACTAATAATTATAAATCTAACAGGATGTAAAAGAAAAATTAACAACAAAACTGAAATGAAAAAAAAAACAAACACTCATATCATTTCGTAGCCAAACCTCCCCCTTAATTTTAAATAGCGGAAACCACCAATTATGATTAAACTTCTTGATCATATGACCAAATTTTGTAAATTTATACTCTTATGGAAAGGAATTCATAAAATTGGGGAAAAAAAAATATTAGGTTTCAAACCTACGACATCCTCCTTAATTTCAAGGAGCAAAAACCATTGCTTTGTCAAACTTCTTGGTCGTTAAGCCAAATTTTACAAATTTATACTCTTCTGAAAACATATATATCCTAATATTTTTTATACCTCCAATTTTTTTAGACCCTAGACAATCGCCCTGCACATATTGGGCCAAGCTTGGCCCTGCAAATCGGCCACATTTCTTGTTTTTTTTCATTTTCTTACCTCCCAAGTCTCAACTCACACAATGCAGTGGCCTGCAAACTTAGTGCACCCTCATTACTAGGTTAGCCTTGTGACTTTTCTGTCACAAGATTATGATGTGATGCCAAGTTGCATCATCTTGATTGTACATGTGTCTATTGCTAGTATCGGATTTGTGGGTCTCATTAGTGTCCTAATGCAATTTTTGACGAAATTCTAATAGAAGAACCAAATTAATTTATGACATCAAATTTTAGAGACGCCATTGATCAATTTTCGACCTTAAGGTTGAAAATCAAGTGTTAAGTCAATTTTGAGAGACTATTATGATAAAACCCTTTTTTAAATGAAATTCATTATTTGTCAAGTATTTTTCTCTTCCTTTTCCTCTTTCCCTACAAAAATATTGATCATTTGCAAAAGAGATCTAAATTTTAAACATAAAATATCTTAAAATTTTGATCACCACCCAATAGAGATGGCAATTTTAACCATTAAACTTGATAACCGTGGATAACCGTCTGAATGGATTGGATTTGAATATAAAAATTGGGGTATATTTTGGTTATGGGGAAAAACCATGAATATTATTCGGTTATGGTTATAGGGGTTCCCAATCCGTATCCGTCCCTGAATCCGAATTGAATAATATATAATATAATTATTCATACTATTAAAGTATTAAAATACACACACACACACACACACACATGTATATTCTTTATTTGTCAAATCCCTTACTTTGAGTGTAAATATAAAAATTGCATTATGTGATTGCATTTTGTGGGAAAGTTCATAAGGTTTTTTGATGAATCAAAATATATGAAATTTCAATGCTACTTATGAGAGATATTAAAGATCAGGCAACATTATCAATGTTTAACTTTAATTTTTATGCTCCACAAGATCCATTTATTAAATCATTTTATATATCAAATATTTAATGACGAAATTAATATTTACTAAATTATCATGCGTTAATTGTACGAAATTAATATTTACTAAATTATCATGCGTTAATTGTAAGATCTCACATCGTCCAGAGAAGTGATCCTTATATGTATATTCCCATCTTTACCTAACACGAGGCCTTTTGGGAGCTCACTGGATTCGGGTTCCATTGGAACTCCAAAGTTAAGCAAGTAGCGTGAGAGCAATCCCATGATGGGTGACCCACTGGGAAGTTCTCGTGTGAGTTCCCAAAAACAAAACCGTGAGGCTGTGGTCGGAGCCCAAAGCGGACAATTTCGTGCTACAGTGGTGGAGCGGGCCCGGGATGTGGTGGACCCCGGGCTGGGATGTGACATTAATTGAACAAATATATTTTTTATACTGACAAAGATAGATATAACCGTTAACCGATGGGGAATCTGTTATCCAGTGGGTATGATTATGGTTAATTTGTGGTTATGGATATAGTTAATTTTCGTGCTTATAGGGATGGATATAACATTTTCCGTCCCCAAACTGAACCGTTGCCATCCCTACCACCCGATATGTTATATTATTTTTTTTTTCCGAACAATCGATATTATCTATTCTGAGGGAGAGATGGTGGGCTTAGCCTCACAATGGGTTAGTAATAATGTGGTTCAAATTCGCCTTTGACTAGAATTGAACTTAAGACCTCTTACTTATAAGTGAAGAGGAATACCACTAGACCGTAGTACTAAGTGGCACCCATGTTACATTAAACTATCATAATATATGTTTTAATATAACAAAAATTATAAAATTAATAAAATGTTTAATAATTAACTTTTTTTTTTTTCGAAACCGTCAATTTGGCAGCAAGGAAGAAGGTTGCCAATCTATATCATGCCACGTCAATTTTGGTTTGGTTAAAAATATTTTTGTTATTTTTATTAACTGCTCATATAGACCTTTTGACATCTCTTTTAAAGATACTTAGTTAATAACTTTAGCTACCTACCCATTAATAAATTTCTAATTCCGCTCTTGATCTTCTTGGCCTTTTCCTAGCACTACTTCACGCTGTACAGAAAACTTCACGGGTTGTAATTATTAAAAGAAGAAGGAACCGTGACCTCTTTTTCGAAGCAGGCAATAGCAGTCACGTCTGTGATGATGAGGTCCATATTGATAAGAATGGAGGCGAGAGGTTTCAGCGGTGAGCTTCCCCGCTGCTCGAAACTGCCGGGGGGTTGGGGCGGTGGTGCGGTTTGGTCCATGAGAGCAACTCCACCGTTGCTAAGGTCCCCTAAGGATATTCATTATTTAATCTACCCAGTAAATAGTAACTGCCTTTAATGAACAGTAATTGTCTTTTACATCTCCACTCCTACATTAAGTAGTCCTGTTAATAGGCAATAAAATAATATTATTTTTTTATTTATAAAATAATACAAAATAATTTTATTTGTAATTTCGGATAAGATTTTTAATAATATATTGTTACCTGATCTGCTAAATTTTCCCCACTTCGAAGATTACTACTAGCTTGTGCCAAGGCATCTCTCCACATACTAAATGATTAGCTGAGTATTCTTCAACGATTGGACATCGATTGTTTTGTTCTTTTCCCACTAATTTTCTCAAGATAATTGGCATGAATAAGACTCCACATTTCTCGGAACTTCATCTCATTACTCGTAATCAAATCATGAGTAACTTCAACCCAACTAGAACTCAACGTAACATCTTCAATAAGCGTCTAATTCGTACATGCATCATTAGTTATTTTGTTGGAAAAAAATTGGATTGAAACTTTGAGAGAAAGATAGGAATGTGGTTAAAACTAGTTGATAAAATATGAAATTGTGTTGTAAGGTAGAAGATAATGAGAAGGTATTTATAGAAAAGTAAAATCAAATTTTTTTTTTTAATTTCTCAAATTTTATTTTCGGATTTTTATTATTTTTTATTATTTTTTTATTCACATAATTAATCTCAGCCGTTGGATTAAAAAAAATCTGAATTTCAACACTCCAAATTGTGCCATGTGGCACAACGGTAACATTTCAGAATTTTAAACTGTTTTTTTTTTTTAATTTATAAAGCCGAATAACGTGGACTGTTGATCTCATATCCAACGGCTTAAATTAAAAAAGATTTTTAAATTTTTTTTACCATTGGAAATCCAACGGTCCATAAATTGTTGTCGTTGAAATCCAACGGACGTGGGGAAGCCACGTAACCTCCCCAACGGTAACATTTCTGAAACGCTCCGCGGGCCCTAGGTTTGAAACCTTGTCGGACAACACGCGGCCACTCGCGCTTGAAGCGCATGCGCCTGATGCAAAAAATATATAAAACATGGATGACGTCACCCAAACGTCAGTCTTGCGTCACGTGACCTTCGAGCTCTTGGGCTAGCTACTCGTGCCAGGCCTCTCTCTCAGGCTAGCTCAGGTTCAATTGCCAGCACACGCTGGACCTCATTGCTCAGGCTATCTAGCCCTGTTTGAGAGTCAGTCCATCGGGCTATTGCCCACGGTGAAACTGCTCTGAGTGGAGATGAAGGGCGTATCCCGCCTCTTATGCCTCTAAGGGGCTCTTTGTAATCTGGGAGGGTAGAAAGGACCATTACCAATTCTTCTTATTTGTTAAGTGACCCCATTGTCGTTTGTCTTGTAGTGGAATTTATTACCAATTGACCCCATTTCCTTCCTTCCTTCCTCCTCAAATGCCCATTCTCTCTGGCTGTGTCTCCTCAACAGCAGAAACGTGGACAACCAAATCACGACAGAGTTGTCCAAATAAAAAAACCACAAACACGTGACAGGCACGTGAACCACATGACATCGACCTTTTTTTTATAATTTTTTATTCTCTTTGTTTTAATAAATTGACTAAAAAAGTAATTAAATTAATCTCTGATGACCTATATGTTGTGTAATTCTTTTTAAATGGTACAATTGAATGATCCAAAAAATTAATAATTAAATTTTGTAAATAAAAATTTAATAATTATATATAACGATTAAATCTTATATAAAACACGTATCAATGAGTATCAAGATTTATATCATATACTCAAAAGTCTTCCATAGACGAAGACTTTGAGAGAATAATTTAACTACTTATTTCCTTTTCACACTCGACATTTCTGTGCAATTGCGGCCGCTCCAGCATGCAAATAACATGCATGCAAATACCTGGAAATTTCCACGAGATGATGACCCTAATGTCTAATAAATTAACAAAGAAGTAGAGTACAACAACTTCCCTTAGTTTACGATGTGACTATGGATGCTATTAATTTGGTTGAAACTTCCTTTCCTTCCACACAATTTCTTGGAAATTAATTAAGCAAATTCTTTAGCTCTATATATTATAAACCGAACTTGGTTCTGGTTTCCACACCCAACTCTCAAGTCTCTCAAGACTTTCGAATCGCAGTTAAGCGACTAGCGGCCTAATTAAGCACTCTCTCTTTCGACTCTCCAGATTTTATCCACCGGTCATGGACAAGGCGATGAGCGATGGGTTCGGATGCAGCCCCGCTTCGCTTCTTGCACTTCTCTTAGTCCTAATCATTCTTAACTGGCTCCTTGTACTGCACTTCAACTCGAATTTACGCTACTTGTTTTTATGCTTCCTTTGCGATGTTATGCAGATTAAGCCCGTGATCCAAAGAAGTTGCACCGACGAGAACGTATGTTATCACAAACCATCCGAAGGAGTTGAAACCAACTCTATAACTACAAGTCCTGATCAAGTCCCTTCAGTTCACGCAGCGGAGATTAGTTACATTCACGAAAATGTTGCAGATGGCGAGAAGAATCTGTGTGTAGGAGAACTAGGACTAGTGATGGAGACACTAGGAACATTAAGTGAGGGGAGACTCGGGTCGAAGGAGATTGCTGATTTGTTTGAGGAGGACCCGAGCTTGGAGGAAGTAAAAGAAGCTTTTCGCGTGTTTGATGAGAACGAGGACGGCTTCATTGATGCAGGTGAGCTAATGAAGGTTCTCTCTGTATTGGGTTTCGTTGAAGCTTCGGAAGTGGAATGCAAACGGATGATCAAGGCATTTGATGTTGACGGAGATGGACGCATAGATTTCGATGAGTTTGTTAGACTCATGGAAAACAGCTTCTGCTGAGTTCACAACATAAATTGCTCTCAAATTCTAGGCCACTCACACCTCTTTTCACATTCTTTTGGTTGACAAAGAGGGTTTCGTTAATGTAGTTTTAGATGTTTAAAATGCGTTTGAAATATGTGAATTTTATTTGTATTATTAATAATGTGTGAAAATAATGTGTATTAAAAATGAAACATATGTACGTAAATATATTATACTTTACAATTAAAAAAAAAGTAATTTAAATCATTAAAAAGTGTACGGAAAATAGAAGTATTTTTGAAAAAAAAAAAAAACGTTAGTATATGTATAATGTTATGGCGAATTTACTAACTATGGTTGATAGTTAGAATAGTTATCGTCACTGTTCTAAAAATTGGGCAAGGCGGCTGCCTAGACGTTGGGCGGTGAAGGATGGATGCTATTTAGGTCAAAACGCAGAGGAAAATCAAGTAGGCACTAGGCGATCGCTTAGGCGAACTAGGCGGCCTAAGCAGTGGGTAGGTGGTTCCGGGGTTAGGGTTCCATTATTTTATTTTATTTTTTTAATTAAATTAAAAGGATTTTCTGGATAACCTACCCAAAAAAAGCCCACATTATTTCGATTGCTGTTTCGTGTTTTTGTTCTCCTTGTCTCTCCACACAGGTGTGTTCTCTCTCTCTCTCTCTCTCTGTCCCTCTCTCTCCCTCTCTCTCCCTCTCTTTCTCTCCTTCTCTCTCTCTCTCTCTCTCTCTCTCTCTCTCTCTCTCTCTCTCTCTCTCTCTCGCATTCGCTCAAGTCGATTCTGACTTTGCTTGCACTGTCTCTTGCAATTGTCGTCTACTAAACTCTTGTGCACCATCGTCTGGGCTCATTATTTTGTTATTTTTAGCTTTTAATCTTTAATTTTCTTCATACTGCAATTGAATAGCGTTGAATTCTAGATGCACGATCCCATTTACATATGTTGATTCATTGAATCTTGATTAATCTGTGATGAAAGATGATGTCAATTTTAGATTATGAATTATTGAATTTTTTTAATTTGGTTTTGAGTTTTTTTTATTTGTGCTACATTTGTCTCTGATGATGTAGAGCTTTAATTGCTTAAACTTTAACTTTTTTAAATTCTAAATACAAGTACGGTTTCTTTTAGAAAGTAAGTAGTCACGTATTTATATGTTATATAATGAATTAAATTAAATCAAATCCATCTACTCTACTTAGATCCCTACCTAACCCGTTATCTGATTGACGCTTAATATTTTTAAGAACCTTCGTATCGTGTTCGAGCATAATGTACAACTACAACGAAATGAAAAAGAGTCCACACGGACACCTATCGAACCTCAGTCTAATCAGCCACCATCCTCGGTCAGACCAACAAGCAAATGGAACACTGTCCACTTTGTTGCCGAGTGGAAAAAGCTTGAGAATTGGGCTGAAAGTTCTTTGGCCCAGGTTTCTTCGTTCCCGCGATTAACCCCTCTGTGACTTTCAGCAGCAGCAATACAAGAAGATACAAGAAGTCAACAACTCTCTCTCCGTCTCTCTCGGCCACCGGAGGCAGCTCCCCGGTCTCGTTGCCCTGTTTTCGTCCCGGTAAAGATAAGATCTTTGACCTTTGATTTCCATATTATTAATTGTATGTTGGTTTTTCCTTCCCAATTGAAATTTGATCCGCCTATTTTCCATGGTCCGATTGTATTCTGATCTGCTTTTGATTGTCAGATTGTATGGCTAAAGAAGAAAACACAAGTTCATATTTTGATTTTCGTTTCTATGATAATTATTTCGGAAATATACTGCAAATGTGTGTATATGCATATATATATATATATATGTATATATATTTATAACTTGGTCAGAGGAGAAATAAGCAGAACCCAGTTGCATGCTGTTACCCAATTTACATCAGAATTCCAAGATGGAAGCTTTTTGATGAATTTTTTACAATTTAATCAGTTGAAAAATGTATAGTTTCAATTTCTCTGTGATGATCTGTTCTTTTCGTTGGGTGTATTTGATGGATAGGATGGTTTCAATGACTACTCCTCAAGCAAGAAGCATTGGGCTTCCACTCATGAACCTTATCAAATTAAAAGGAATTCCCATTCTCCAACAGCTTCATTTAGAGGAGCAACTTCTTAGGACCTCGTCCCATAATTGGTGCATTGTAAACGATGGAACTAATGATCCCGCTATTGTCATGGGTGTTTCGGGGTAAGATGAGCTTCTTACTCATTGTCACTATTGATTAAGTTGGTATGTTCTCTGTATTAGAATACTATCACTGATCAAGTAGGATGATATTGTCGCGGACTGTCCAATGTAAGAGTGTCATTGCTTGGTCAATCGCAGACTTATTTTCCGAATTACATGATTCTGGCTCTGTTCATTCTCTTAGGTTTGTAGTTTTATTATTTATTTATGTATGTTTTTTGTATTGGAGATTGTAAAGGATCCATGTATGTTCTGCATAGAAAACCTGCAGAGCTTCTTGAAATTGATTTGGTGTTACGAGACCAGATTCCTGTCATTAGAAGGTTTACCGGAGGTGGCACTGTTACTGTAGATCAAAATACACTATTTGTCACTTTCATATGCAACAAGGATGCGGTTCCTGGCTTGCAACCATATCCTCGACCTATAATGTCCTGGAGTAGCCTAGTTTACAGCAAAGTGTTTGAAGGACTTGCTGATTTTCAACTTCGTGAAAATGGTAACTTAACGAACCTTTCTAACGCTACTGTCTACTAGGGTGCTTTATGATATAAGATTACGTGTTTGTAATGTTTATTAGACTGATTAGTATCCTTTTCTTACCTCTTCTGTTAATCCTATTGTTTCTTGCTATTTTGATTTGAAATTTCTGGATGTGATTTGAGGTTCTTTATCTGATCTTTTTGTGTGGTATCAAATGTTAGTTTTGTGTTTCGACTTTTCCCTGACAAAATATTTGGTCCCATCCGATTGCAGATTATGTATTTGGAAACCGCAAGTTTGGTGGGAACGCTCAATCTATTAGTAAAAACCGGTGGATCCACCACACTTCCTTTCTATGGGACTTTGATGTTAGGAACATGGCATACCTGAAGCATCCAAAACGGGTTCCTGAATATCGATTGGTATGTTATTAAGTTGTCACATCTATTTTTCTGTGGTTCCTTTAAATTTTGTGGTTCAACATTTATTTCCCACGTAGCCGAAGAAAAGCCTGTGAATTCCACACCTTAAATATGCCGATATGCTATCTATTTCCTTTGCAGGCAAGAGATAATTTAGAATTCATATGCCGCATGAAAGACTACATCCCAAGATCAGTTTTTCTTGAGAAAACAGTCGAGGCACTCGGATCCCAATTCTCGGTGAGATCGGAACGGTCGGACGCCATTGAACCTACCTCGAGTACAAAGTTTGTACCCTCAACTAGGCTGTTGACAAGGCAGGAATTAGAGGAAGCAGCAGCTTTTGACTCTCAGGCTGAAAGAAATCTCTCTCGATCATTGTCATTGTAATGAAAGTGAAATTGAGTATTCAGTGAGGGTGGTATTCCCATAGTACCACCCTTCAATTTTTTAATAAATGTAACCTATTTTTTTCAATCCACACTAATGTTTTAAAAGGCGAAAACGAAGTTAAGGCGTTTCAAGAATGGCCCGTCTAGGCAAAACTTGAGGTTTGTCTCACGGGATCTAAAATTATTAATCTATATTATATACGATTATATACAAATAATATAATCCATAAACTAATTTTTACTTCTCATACACCTTTTTTAATTTTTTAATCGTCAAATCGAATGTAATGAAGAAGATCAATGATAAAAAATTAACAAGAGTGTGAAAGGTAAAAATAAGTGTGTGATTAGCATTTTTCAATCAATAATAGAGTTGAAATCAAACATTATAGAAGAATAATCAACAATTTCTTCACAGTAAGTGAGAAACTCTAATCGTAAAAAATAACCCAACTAATACCTCAAGTGCCTAGACACGCCTCGACCATGCCTAAGCGAATTTAAGCTTACTTTCTCTAATTAGAAGTGTTTTTCTCACCGCCCCACCTCGAAGGCCGCCTACACATGCCTTAAGGCTCATTTTTCAAAACACTGATCAAACAAATGTTAAATACCTTTTTGGACAAAAATATACGTTAGTCCAGTTTTTCGGAAATTTGCAATGCAGGTTATTAAATGCACGACCATCGGAGAAGGATTTTCATATACTTGAAATAGTATTTTCATTGAGAAATGCTAATTAGACACTTTTAAAATGGAACTTTCTATAGATTTTTTGCTACTTCATACTTTAACGTCAATTTGTGTTCTAACATTATAAAACATTATGCAGAAAAGATGAGGTGACAAGAAATCTATAGAGGGTCTCACTTTTAAAAAGTCTTCTTAGCATTTCTCATTATCATTATTACAAACCAATCACGTTTTATCATGTGGTATCTCGACACAATCACATATTTCAATATAAAATACGTAACAGTACATGATTGGCTTGGAACAAAACTCCATGCAAATTTCTCGACTCGGCCCGCCTACCATGTTAACCGCAAAGACAGCCATGTTGGCTTTCTTGGTGGAGAAGCTCTTCACCTTCCCAACCCAAGATTTTTGTTCTTTTCCCCTCTTCGTTCTCGGTGCCACTGCAAACTCACAAAGCGCACCGTTCATTGCACCTCTCTCTCTCTCTCTCCACACTCTGTTTCTCTCTCTGCCGCAGTAAATTTCTGGTGGTGGCTCTGCACATTCTAACGACCGAAATCACAGCTTGACCCGTCGTGTGCAAATTCGTAAGCTTTCAATCTTAATACCCCATTTCTTGCTTTCCCTCCATGTTACTCTGCTATTTCTTTGTCTGGCTTCCCCTGTATTTTTTTTTTTTTGAATTGCCCTTTTCCCATATTCATAAAAATGTTATCTTTTCCCATTGATTGATGATATTTCTCATCTAAGTCCACACTTTTTGTGGATTATATCAATTTTTTGTTGATGATTTCATGAATTATCAACGTCTCTGATTGCAGAAATTTGTTTGTATTTGTCATTAGGTGGTCGTTTTCTTTCCGGGATTTTAAGGTTTCATTCTGATTTCACGAGCTTGTCTGCTTATATGATAAGCAGGCTCTGTTTTTCTGCAAAAACAATTAATTTTATCAGATTTGGGGTGGAATTGTTCTTTTCGAATTAATGGTTATCAAGTTCTGGTGCCTGGGATGAAAGCTGCATTTGGAGAAGTGCATTGTTGTTGTGTAACTAAAGTGAGTCGATGTACATTTCAACAATAAACAAGGGTGTCGAGAAGTTTTCGCAGTTGGCATTTCGTAAGACTTTCGAGGGGTTTGCTTGTTGGATTGCAGGATGGGAAGGGTTAAGTTAAAGATAAAGAAATTAGAGAGCAGTGGTAACCGGCAGGTTACGTTTTCAAAACGGAGAAATGGAATCTTGAAGAAAGCTAAGGAGTTGTCAATCTTATGTGATGTAGATATTGTCCTTCTCATGTTTTCCCCCACTGGAAGGCCTACGATATTCCAAGGGGACCGCAGGTATTGTAATCGGAAAGTTTACATTCGTTCTTTGATCACAATTTTACAGACAAACTAGCATAAGATAACTAGAATGAGACTAAAATAGGGAGCGAATGAACTTTCTATATCATATGTTAATATAGCTTCTTTGCTTTCATGACATTCTCAGTAATTTTGAAGAGATTGTTTCGAAGTTTGCACAGTTAACTCCACAGGAGAGGGCAAAGAGGTACTGCAATACTTGCAACGAGATTTGAATTTTCTCATTTTCTAGCTCGATTGAGTTTGGATGGCATTACAGCTAACTACTTGTCCATTTTGTCTTTGACAGGAAATTGGAGAGCCTCGAAGTAAGACTTTCGCAAATAGCATTTCAAACGGGAACATTTGTTTCTCTTGCGTTTGTTGTATTAAACGAAAACTAACTTATGCCACTTGATTCATTCTATACTTGTGTTTTGGTGTTTTTTTGTGGATATAGGTACTGAAAAAAACTTTTAAGAAGTTGGATCATGACGTTAACGTACAAGATTTCATGAGTTCAAGGTATGTGATTGTTTTTATCACATTTGTCATTTCCTTTGAGTGAAATCTATGGGAATATCTGATGCAGACCGTTTCTTAACGTTCTTTTTCTCTTCTGTTCCTTGCAGCTCTCAGACAGTTCAGGTATATATTCTTTACCACCAATAGAATTATAAATGCTTTTCGATTTCTTAATTTAACTACGACAACTAATGTCTTGTGATAAATTGCTATTGGCAGGATCTGACTCATCAAGTAACGGTATTGCAAACCCAACTTTCAGAACTCCATAAGAAACTGAGGTGCACCTTTGGAGCTTTTAGTTTTTAAAGTATTGCCTTGTCTTTTTGGTCTTGATGGTCGATTTGGGTTGTGCCGTATGTTTCGAAAATGTTTGTGCTTCAGTTTCTATATACCTGCAGAACGATAACTTTCATACAGGCCCTAAGAAATTGTATAGAAACTCTTTCTGTTTGAATTGTCTTGTGTGTTCTTGATTATATTACACATATTTTGACCTGTTTTCGTATTCAAATTTCATTGAATCTACAAATGATCGCGATGCATTGCATATTAAACTATGCATTGATCAGTAAGGTATATGCATATAGAGAATCCATGTGATATTCTAGCTCTTGACACTTTTTCAGCTTTTGGAGCGACCCAGATAAGGTTGACAATCTTGAACAGCTTAGGCAGATGGAAGACATGCTTAAGGAATCAATCAACCGAACCTGTCTATGCAAGGTATAATTTTGTATTTCATGTTACAGTATTGCATAATAAATTCTAAGGCTTGCAATGTGAAAGAAAAACAACGGTTTACAGTTTTGTTTACCAAACGACTGAAAAGAAAAGATGAAGTATGAACAGTGATATATCATCGATGAACGGCTTTGGTTGGTTTTGGTGTCATGGTGAGTTGAAGTAGCCATGACTTACCTGATCCGCCTGAGTTGCTACTTTTTCTACCTGCTTTATGTGCGGGTGGCTATTGAATTGATGCTAACATATTGGATAACTAAACTTGTTAGGAAAATTTGGGAAAACATCAACTAACATCACTAGATTGCACAAACCAGGTAATAAATACTTTAGCTGATGAAACAGTGCTCTCTCTCTCTCTCTCTCTCTCTCTCTCTCTCTAATATAATCTAATTTGAGGCTTGATTTTTGTGTATCAAAGTTTCAAAATGGAATGCCTTCGTCTTTATTAGTTGGTGGTGGTATGCAAGAAGCTCAACCTATAACTTGGCTTTTCAATGGCAACAATCAACATATGATATTCCCGAATGAGCCGAACTATCTTCCACATAGGTTAGTCTATTGCTGTTATGCATCCACCAGTACAGAGCCTAATGCCTGAGAACTTTCTTTCTGATAAATTAGTAAATTACCGATGCTATGATGCTCTCTGTCTCTCTCCCCAGAGGTTTGGAGTGCTCTACAAATGCCACTGTTCCACATTATACTAGTTACTTTGGCACTGGGACGAGCACTAGCCCTAGCACCAGCAAACAATCTGAGGTCGGTGATCCAGTACAACTAGATCCTATGGGACAAATTTCTAATATGGAAGGAGGCGGTGGCTTAAATGAGTTTGACATTAATGCTTGTTTAAGTACGGAACCTGGTAAGCATTATGCTTATCCATCATATTGTAGTTCTTACGTGCCAGACGATCAGAAATTGAAGCATGAAATGGAAAAGAACGTACCAGCAAATCCGGTGGACTATCAGCTAAGTAGCAACTTTGAACTGCCAACATCTTTGTATGAAACTGATCAGCATGCTTGGCTTTCTTCATCTGGGCCTAGCGGCATTGCTGTGTACAAGGAGAATACCTACCAACCGGTGAGTCCTTCCATCGATATTTTTCGTTCTGTTTCGGCAAGCTTATGAAATAATGGATAAAGTATTGGTCTATGTATTTTATTGTTCCATTGGTGACTTGCGGCTCGTCTCTTGTAGCAACCAAACGTGAGATTGTAGCTGACAAAATGTTGGAAGGATTTACGGGAGCCACATACCGAGCAAATGATATGAGTTGGAAATCTAAAGAGTAATCCAAGATATGTATTGATGCTAATAGGCTACTTGGGGGATTAGACTAAATCTGTGTGTGTGTGTGTGTGTGTATTGTACAAGACATATAGAATTATGGTTCATCTGTATACTAACATCGTTGGGTTCCTTAATTCAGAGCATCCACCACTTTTGTAAACTATTACTCATAGAAAATGAAAGCAAACATGATGGATTGCTTGAGCAACCTTGTGATTTATATTATATTCGCCCGCTATTTTTTTGTAACTGAGCGATTTCTAATCTAGTCTAATTTAGGGGGAGGGGAATTTGAGTTTGGGCGTAGATGGGGAGCTTTGCACTAGCCAACTTGACGAGGCCCATATGCTCAATAATCAATATTATATTGGTAGATGTAATGAGAATGATAATATTAAATGCCCCATGGTTCCTGTACACTGGTCAAACATTTTGTCTACATTGATGCTCACCATCTCACACTCACTCAAAAACCATTAATTCATTGTTACAAAATAAATAAGAACAGAATTTCCATATTTTCTTCCCCCACTTTTCTTGTGTTGCAATGGATCTAGAAGCCTCTTAGGGTTTGGATAATGGTGTTATGCCATGGGTCTGAGAGGTGCTGCAACAGGTTGTCGAACGGTCCTTTTCCGGTCACATTGTGTTGAACCACAAACCCTAGGAATGCCAACATTGCCAGTCTCCCTGCATAACACATTTCAAAACAACATATTAGACCTCATTTTAAACAGAAAAGCAGATGCGAGTTAGGCTAGTTGGTCAGGGCAATGTTGGACACAAGATCAAACGCTTACCATTGGCAATTTCCTTCTCCTTGGCCTCGAGAGTCGGTGCGAAGTTGAGGGGGTTGAAGATGCCGCCTGGGTAACCCACCTCACCTGGGGGCAAGCTGTATTGCTTGAAGATGGGGTCTTGGTTCACACTTCCTGGGTTCTTGATGTCTTGCCACCGTCTGATCTCGACGTAGTGGAACAGGATGAACTCAATCACAAAGAGGGTGGACGAAGAGGCGAAGTACTCGCCCTTTCCGGCATCATACCATTTGGGGACGTTAAGGATCCCCAAGCTGGTGAACACTTCAGGCAATAGCATCCCAGCAACACCCAACATTGCCCATCTGCCATTGACAAGCTCAGCTTGGACAAACCACCTCAAGTTCTCTGGGTCCTCAGCAAGTGCGAGAGGATCAAATCCATTGTCACCAGGAAGACTGCCCACAAAAACATATCTTATTCAATCAATGGTTTTTCCTCAATCGAAATATTTACAGGCATTTTCATCGGTCATCCAAAAAAGTCATCGTGCACTGTTTTTTTTTTTTTTTTTTAAATTAAATTGTAATTGGAGAAGTATATAACGGTTAATTTAGACTGTAATGATAGATCGATTAGTTTAAACGAGAAATTTTAAACATACCTTCCGTTGAGGTAGTCCGGTGAAGCCAAACCGGGTAACCACTCACCCTTCTTGGCCTCAACTTTAAATGAAGAAGCAGAAGGAGAAGCCATAGGCCTAAAAGCCACTTCCCTATTTAATTTACTCGAAGACCCTGAAAGGAACCTTGATTTCGAGTTGACACACGGCCGGAAAACGGCCGCCGAGGCTTGAGTTGTGACCGTAGCCATTGTTTTCCCAACTGAATTATGGTCGGATTTTCAGGTAGGATGGGGGATTAGTGGTGTAGAGGAATAGAAGGTATGGAGCTAAACGAAAACGTAAATTGTGCAATGTGAGTCCATGGCTTTGTATATTTGATGCCAACTTGTCAATGCGGGTCTTGTGGAGGTTGTTCTTTGATGGAATTTGACCGTTGGTTTGCAAGATTTTTGTGATCCCAACGATGGAGATTTGTTTATGGTTTGAGATGAGCCAATGGGAAATCTTGGACCTTATCTTTTTATCTTTAGGGTTGTATCCACAAATCTATACCAGGGATGCTGTTGGCTGAAATGAGACTGTGGGGGTCTACTTTGTGGCCACGCATGAAGGTTTTTTTTAACAGGATATGGATATGATGATTAGGATCTCCTTCCACGTCGAATCTAAGGGAGCCTATAGTTGCATGACAAATGGCTGGCTCAAACTACATCTTACCTAATGGCGAATCTAATGAAGGGCAGGGGCACGTACGCCCTCTCAACATTTTTGGGTTGAAAATAAAAAAAGAGGAGTGTTGTTCACACACTTGGTTTACCTCTTATATGCATCTTTATGTAACAGATATTCGTGCATATTTTTTTTTTCATTATAATATCAAATTATAACCAAAGCTCAAAAACCATGCACAATGCCTCGATTTTAACTCTACGTGACGTTGAGTTAGAATGTGATAACAGATAAAATGATGAAAGGTCAGGCAACTATTCATCCTCTTGCTTTTGGAGAGGAGAACTTCTTCTACACCGCTTAACCATGAGACAGACAAATGCAGCCAAAGATGATTACAATGGCTCATCGGCAAGCAAGTAAGCTTTCCCAGTTACGCGTATGTAAACCATTTCCATTTGACAAGAGTTATGGTACATTTTGATGAAACAGTAAAAAGTTGGAAAAGTGACAGGATGGCATATCGTTAAAGATTTGACTATCCTAAACCGTAGGATTAGCTCAAATGGCGAGGGAGGGAGCAGTTGGGCTCTTGCAGTAGCAGCTTGTTGCCTCATGAGTCATGACTGTTATTAAAGATATTCATCAAATCCCGTGTTTAGTACGCATACTAGTTCCGTTAGCAGATTAATTATCATTTTCAGTTGCTTGTCATCTGATTTTTCAATCCAACAATAAACACAGTGTGTTGTGCGGCTTTAGTGACATGAAGGAAGTTAGTATAGTAGAAAGAACGAGACTATCATGCTTTCACTCACCCTATCTATTCGCGCGCTGGCAGATAGGGGCTTCTATCTACGTGATTCGCCATGCTTGGTTGCGCTTTTCTTGCTGCAAAAGCAAACTAACTGCTGCAATTAAGTAGCTTTGAGGAATGAGAAAATAGTACCGATCAAGTTCACATTAAAGAGGCAAGTGAAGTATACAAGTTGCATGCCTTCTCCGCCTTTGCCTCTGAGCCGGCTTCGGGTGATCAATTTCGAAAACACAATATGTGGCACTGCATCTCCATGACCCTTCTTAAACTCCTTGACACATTCCCAATGATCCATGCTTCATGGATACTCCAACTCGTCGACACATCATATCGTGGGTGATGCAGCATCACTGCCATATGCAGAGGAAAAAGTTGTCTACAATTAAAGGAGACAGTAGCCCACTTCAAAGTCCACGTTTAGGCAGAACTTGGGCTGTGGCCGAAGTCTGATGGTTAACGAAGAGAATGGTTACAGATTTTTGGCCCAAGATGTGCAATCATGGCAACGTTTTATTACACGGTGAAGATTCATATTCCCAGTTGATTAAAATAGAACATCGTTCTATTAAGAAAGTGTACGCGGGAATTTCACTTTGAGGTCAAGCAGGAATGGTGATCAAAACCATTCCGTATAGAATGAATTCAAACTTCAAGTAGCTAGTTTCATCCTCATGAAGAGAGAAACTTTATTCTCCGAAACCTTACAAGATAAAACGCATTACAACGTAATTGAACCAAACCAAACCAGACGGACAACTAAGTAACCTAACAAAACCAGGCGGGTGGTTTTACACCCACCGCTGCCGAAATCTCTGTCTGCCTTTTTCCAAAAGAGAGCAGAGTAAAGAAGCACAATAACCTCATAATTTAATTCCAAATGATAAAGAGCCCCCTTAATATAAGCCCTTCTCATTTTTTGACTCTCAACAGTACTAGGTTTCAATAACCGTAGCTAGACCCTAAACAAACATGTAACTATAATTTGTTTAATTTAATGTTTGGTGTTTAGAACTGTAGGCCGCTGAATGTTTGGCCAAAGGACCAGCCGGCAGGAACAACGTTGTTGGAGACAATCGTGCGGCCGTCACTGGTTGTGACCTTGAAGGAGAGGCTCTGGCCGTTGAGGAAAGAGTTGCTCTGCCAGTTTTGGCCCCAGTTCCTTGACATGGGTTGCCAGCCAGTTCTTGACCCTTTGATGGAAACTGCATGAACATCACCAGCACCTCCAACGTTTGTGATCAGCACTAAATTGAAGTATGAATGACCGTTGATTGTGAATCTGATCCCTCCCTTCTTTAAGCAAGGCACCCTGCAAAAACTCATAAACAACAAATCATGAGTCTTCGCCGTCAATAAAGTTTTTTAAGTGTGACAGTCACATTATCACATACGTTTAACTATACGTTTACGATATAAGTTGACAACTTAATTAATATATGATAATATGAACAAATTGCTATAATCACGTGACGATAGGACAGGGTACTTTTGGAAATTGCAGAAATTGGAAAAGATGACGTTAGGTAAATTGGTTGGTTCTTGTAAGTGCTTTGGTCGGCAAAACAGAAAGGGCTACAGCTGATGATATAAGGTAACCGATTTTAGAGCAGGCTTCTTGTGGACACATGTTTCAACCTTTATAAATGCGCCGAATCTATACATAATATCAATTGGAAATTTTTCACTAACACTCCCTAAACTATTAAAGCATGAGATGCTAACAAAGATTAAACAGTCATGATCATTCGATAATTTTGGGTAAGAATTGTGTTTTTCCAGAAGTTATCAGCTCAACAGAATTGTCATGACTTTGTATGGCGTCTATTGTGCTCACAAGCTTCAGTAAACGCGATTCTTACCCAAACATCGTTTATGAATTATGAAATGACGAAAAATGCCCTTGAAAATTGTGTGAGGTGTCTGTGCACACCCCTAACAATTTAAGGGGTATATGTGCAATTTTCCCTTGTAAATTCATTTTTATTAAGTTGGAAAACAGCCCCTGCCGAAAGTGGAGTTTCTAAAGAAACATAAAGCAGGCCAAGCCTGAAATTGCATACCTTCTGTAAGACACAGGCACGATTCCAGCTCGGTACTGAGCAATCCGCTGGAAGACGGGCTGGGCGAGATCAAAGTGGTGCTGCGGCGGGTTGCACCAGCCTCCGGCATTGTTGGGAAGAGCGTTGTTTGGCGGGCAGAAATTGGTGGCCGTGACCATAATTGATCCCGGACGACACCATTTGGGGTCACTCACACACCTAATCTCAAAACAAGCCCCACAGCTCAACCCATTGTTGAACAGTGCTGTGCTCAGAGCTGCAGTGTTAGTTCCATAGCCTTGGCTATACAGATTTCCATAGCCACAAGCCCCACCTGCAATTTAGATACATTAAAAAAAATTAAGACGTGGCGGGTATTAATAAACGGACCGTTGAATAGATATGCGCTAACAAAATGTATTGACATGTTATAGATTCATTTGTCACAATAACAATGCATGTATGTTTTTAACGCTCTGTAAAGATAATTTATATATGTTTACTTACCCATTGTACCGGACGCATCACCTCCGCCGTAGAAAGTGGCATGTGCATCAACCCAACCACCGCCACCTCCTCCATACCCACAAGCAAAAGAGCTCAAAGAAAGAACCACCAAGAGAAAACCAAGAATTGCCATGTTTTTTCCTGCACAAAAAGGTTTGTACTTGTTTTCGTAGCAGAAACACAACTTTTGGTAGTGAGATAAACAGAGAGCAAAAGAGGCTTTGTGTTTGTGAGTTGTGAAGAGAAGTGGAGGGGGTGAGATGGGGGATAAATAGATGCTTGGAGTTGGAGGGAGAGGTTTTTTTTTTTTTTTTTTGCAAAGGGCAACGTCACACCAACTAACTGACCCTAAATTTTGATGTGTGGGGCCCTTGAACCGCCAAGTGCAAGCGGTTTTATGCATGTTCCTGTGGAACCAAAGCACACTGTTCTCCGAACCACGTGGTTTGGAGCCATTCACATTTCTGTTGTGCTGGTGTTGGTGCGTTCAAATAAATTCATATAGATTAAAAGACTCAACTAGGGTTCACGACCCCAAAGTGGTTTTGGCAATTTGCACTGAAGGTAGATGTCTAGTTACAGAAATTGCATTCCCACTAGACTGCATGAAGCACTCTTAATAATTTAAGTGTTATGACATGCATAAAAGGAAATGAATGTACCTGAAATATGATAGAGAAAGTGACAATGTCCAAACCAGTATCATACTTTAGGTCTGAGATGACACAGAGGCATCGTGAACGGTGTAGCTAGGTACACAAGTCCTTCTAGACGTTTAAACGACATGATTTAGATAAATGTTACCAACTTAAAATTCGGTACTAAATAAATAACCAAGTGTTTTACATCTGGAGTTGTAACGACCATTCATTGTATCTATCATTTACTACAGTTGCACCAAACTGAGTCTTTTAGTTGCAATTTGTCTTTTCCTCTGTTTTCTTTAAACAGCAGCTTCAGCCTCTTTAGCCAAGAGGAAAACGCAGATGCATTCAGATGGTCCCGTGCCGTTAATGTCCGGTCTACAAAGGTACAGAAGAAGGACTAATACGGCTAAAGTGATTATCATAAATAGTGTACTTTGAAATATCTACAAAGTTAAGATAAGGCTTACTCCAACCTCAAATTTTAAGTTCTAAACTTATTCCAACTTGCCCTAACCCTTGGGGTAAATATAAATTAAAACTCAAAACTCATTTCAAGGCCAAATTTAACTTAGAATTCTCCCTAAGTTAGTGGGGCTGGCCCACTATATTTTTTTAGTTTTATATTTATAAATTCATTGAATCCAACGGTTAAGATCTAATTTGATGAAATTCAACCGTAAAAAAAAAAAAAAAATCTAACAGTCCAAATTTAAATCCAACGGCTGAAGTAATTAAAAAAAAATCTTTTATGTGCTTCATATTCTTTCATAGTATTTCACGAGTCTCATGATGTCTGTTAGTGATATTTCAATATTTGTCAAAATCTACATAATTTTAGGTTAAAATGTTCAGAAAATTAAATTAGGATAGTCTACATAATTTTTCTTTTAAAAAAGTTACTTTAAGAAAAAAAAAATAAGTCTAAATTCATTTTTTAATAATATGGTGCTAAAATTTTAACCCATAAAGGTTGTAGCAAAAAAGCTGTTAATGGGTTAAAACATCAATTTTCTGGGTTAAAAATTTTAAATTTTAACCCAAAAGTTGGAGATGTTCTAAGTAACTAGTAGTTTGATTTCCCAAATTTCTAACCATCTTTCAATCCATGTCCAAACGAAAATGCATGTGGAAATTAACTACCATTAAAGTATATTTTACTTATATTCCATATACTAGCCTTTATGCACACGCTCATGTGCGTGCAAAATGCATTTTTTGAATCACGACGTGTTATGCGCGACTTACATGTTTTAAATGCATATATATATATATATATATATATATATATATACACACACGTGTGTGTGTGTAAATTGACAAAAAGAAGGTTAAATATTTGAAGTAAATAAATAATCTTAGATCATGTTAGAAGAAACCCCTCAAAAACCAATTAAAGTAGCTGAATTCATATAATAAAATTGGTCTCTATAGAATTTACATTAAGAATAAAGAAAATAATATTTAATAAACAATTGATTGAATCACATTATTGCTAGCCTATTGTGAGGCTAAACCCACCCCCTTCCCCTTAGTGTAGATAATATCGTTTGTTAAAAAAAAAAAAATCAATCATTTAACAACTAATTTAATCACATCATTATCCGCGTGCAAAATACTTTTTTTATAACCGGCATTACATGCCTCTTAAGATGTTTTGAACGTGTTTAAAATAGAGAAAATAATATTTAATAAACAACCGATTGAATTATATTGTTGCTAGCTCATTATGAGGCTAAACCCACTTCTCTCTTCCTTGGTATAGATAATATCGTTTGTTACCAAAAAAAAAATCATTTGACAACTAATTTAATCACATTATTATTCGCGTATAAATAATCTTTTTTATAATCGGCATTACACGTCTTTTAAGATGTTTTGAATGTATTTAGAAATAAATAAATTTAATCGAATTATTGCTAGCCTATTGTGAGGTACTATTTAAAAAAAAAAAACCACAAAATAATTTAATTATTAAAAAAATACTATTAAAATGATAAAAATGCCCCTACCTTATCTGATGCCTTATTTTGGGATGCCTTTAAAGTTTTTTGTTTTGGGGGCAATTTTATCCAATTATTTTTGTTGAAGTTTGGTGACACCAAAACACTATTCACTTTTTCTTCTCTTTATATATAATAGACATGCATGGCTATTGAATGTGGAAGAATCCACTCACACCACCGTTAGAACATTGTTTGACTCTTTATAGTTAATGTAAACTTAAAATTAGACATATACTACAGTGACTTATTAGAAATAAAAAACAAAAGGTTTGAAAGTATTTTTAAAATAAAAAAAAAAACGTATGTAGCTAACTAAAAGTGTTTTTAACAATGTTTGCCAAAAAAAAAAAAAAATTAAAAAGTACTTTTGAGTGCCTTTCAACACTCACTTGTATTTTTATTAAAAACTTCGACGTAAACACAAGTACATTTTAAAAGGACATTTCCAAGCAAGCCCATATCAAATTAAGGAGTCAAATTTTTTCATCTATTCTATGAGCATTTAGCTAGGATATTAACAATGGGATTGAACTTTTGGTAATATGCATGGAAATGGGTAAATTTTAATTTGGAAAAATTTGATAATGATCAGACCGACAAATGAAAAAATAAAACATGTTATGGCTGTTGAGTGTTGACTCCATGACCAATATACATTTTCATGTTGTGAACAAACTTAATAAAATTAATGAGAAAGTTTGACCCAATTATTGTGCTTGGGATATGTCAAATGCAGAAATCTCCTTCAATGTTATCGGTTTGACAATTTGGTTGTAGACGCTTGGAGAGCACATGGATGATGAGAAAATGATTCTTTATCTTTCTATTTTTCTTATTTATAACGTGGATGATGAAATGTTCGTAATATTGATGAGCAGGGCTCATCAGGCTGTTACATTACGATCGTTCATAGAACAGAGGGAGCTGATGAGGGAGAGGGAGAGGAGAGTAGGACCATCTGATGAGAAAGCACACCAACAACTCAATCCCATTTATTATATTTCATTAATTTTGTTGCCAACCAGTTCTGCATAAGCTGCAAACACACCCGTCTCTCAAAGTTGCATGCATGTGCAGTTCCGTGAATAAATTGAAAATTGCGATCATAAGGATGCATGCATGTGCATGCATATCCGCTGTACATGTATATAAAGAAATGGTTTATACATAATACATAAATAGAAAGTGTATATGTATAGCTAGATTTGATGTAGAAGTCGTATATGTACAAGCTATAATTCTAATTTAAATTGGGTAATAGTATGGAGACTAAATTTTGTAAATTAAATGATATGGTTATTGATGATTGGATTATTACTTAAGTGTTGAAACATGATTATTTCCTATTGATGACACATCATTTAGTTTAAAATTTTATTTTAAATTTTTAATTTACCTAACATTACCCATCTAATTTAATTTTACTAAGGAGGTGGGAGAATTCAAAGTAGTGGATGAATAAAAAACTTTAATTATACCGCATCCTTGAAAACATATACATGTATAATTGCTGTTAAGACATGGAGGAGTCATGCACGAACTCCGATAACATGCATGATTCAGTTGGTGTGATGAACGTATAGCATGTATTCCTATCTTATCTTTTGATTCATTACAACGAACATCTACTTGTATACCGTGAAAATAGACCTGAAGAAAATCTATTCATGTAGTCACCAATACTCGATTGGTTTTTTTTTTTAATAAGCGATAAGAGTGGTATTTCATTCAACATCATAAATAAATACAGACAATACCAATTAGGCTTATAATTTTAGTGATAAAAAAATTGATATGAAGTAAATTTGCACAATTAAGTAAATCCGAATACGGATACCACAAAACCTACCAAAAAAAAAAAAGCCACCAACACATTAGCACTGCTAGCAGATTTGAGTGTGTAAGGCATAGAAAACACCATATCGATCGAATAGAGTATCAATGCCATGAAAACAAGCTAACGAAAGTGTAACCAACTCACCAGCATACACAGCTTAGCAAGTGTTGGATCTTATCATAAATGTTTCAATGTTAGTAGTAATGGTACCATTTATTTTTATAAATAGTAATAAATTATGTGAAATTTCCGATGTGGAATTACATTCTTCAACACAACAAAGAGAAAAAGAGTTGAAAGTGAGATATTGTTGTGGAATTGTGCCACATGTTAGATTAGCCAGCTAGCTTAGCTCTCGGGGAAAGCAACGTGAAGGGTTATAATAAGGGATCGAACACGTACGTACCGCACTAGTTTGGTTCCATTTTTAGATCATACAGTCGTCATTCTTTTAGCTGCACACGTAGCTTTATAATTAGGGTTTGTCTTTTTTCTCTTCTGTAATTTCCTTATCCTTCATGGATTCTTTCTTCAGAACCGAAATCTACTGACCGTCTAGTCGAGTTCTAAATCTGGAAAACAACCAAGAAGCCACCAACACTACTTTACAAATCTATCATGCAAATAGACCCATGCATACGTGTGAATGAATCATGCAAAGCCACTTTTCAAGCGTCTTTCTCTACCTCCCTTGATATTTCTGAGTAAATTACAACCGCACCGTCTGATTTTTGTTTGA